TGAGGCCACCGAGTATGAGACACAACGCCCAAAGGGCACCCGGGGAATCTGGCATCAAAGTTAGCACTCTGCCAGGGTGAATCCCACTTACATAATAGGCTGTAGCTCTACCAATATTAGTGCCGGGGAGACGTCTGAGGCACCGTTGGAAAGCTGGCATTGAGTAAAACGAGGCCACTAAGTACGAGATGTCATACCCGCAGGGCGCTCTGGGAATCTGGCGCCAAAGTCAGCACTCCGCCAAGGTAAACACCACTTTTATAACAGGCTGTAGCTCTACCAATATTGGTGCCAGGAGGACGTCTAAGGTACCATTGGAAAGCTGGCGTTGAGTAGAATCAGGGCGCCGAGAATGGGATGCTGCGCCCAAAGGGAGCCTGAGGAATCCCGTGTCAAATCCAGTACTTAACTGAACCTCGCTAACTTGGTATAGCAGGTAAAGTTAACAACAAAGTCCGAGTCCTGAATGCAGGGGAGGTAGCAGAGGCACCTAGTAAGGCGGGAGGTGGTATGCAGGATGCTGCTAGGGGGGGAGCTGGTAGGGGGTGGTAAAGGGGGAGCAGCTGGCAGCTGGGTTAATGACTCGGAATCTCAGGATAGTAACTGGGCAGCCTTGCTTCCTTAGGACGCAATCTGGATGTGGCACCGCCTAGCATAAGTACTAGGATTCACAGGACGCAACCGGACTTGGCGCCCAAGTACCAGATGCACAGGATGCACTGGACGCAGAATCCTGCCTGCTTGCATCCGGACGTACTGCCCACGCGTCTGACACAGGATTTATTTTTGCTGATGTAGGTGTAGACATAGGTTGCCATAGCTCTATAACGTAGGGTTGTCACACTCCATCCTTTGTAAGGTGAACTGTCCCTTCCCAGCCTCCTTCTCCACTACTGTTAATGCACATGGTATCCTCATCCTCCTTGCTTCAGATCCCCTTACCTCCACCGCCAGCTACTTCCCCTATGGAAAACCTAAGTAAGATGCAAAGGCAACCAAGTGGAAGGAAGGTAAAGACGATGGGAGCCTAGGGGGCAAGGGGAACAGCCTAAATAGCCTATGGGGAGGGTAGGGGCAAGGGGCCCCCCTGAGGGGGAGGGCAGAAGGAGGGTAGGGTTTACAATAATTTCTCATAGTGTTGAGATTTCAATCATGAGGGAAATAGGTGTGGAAGTCAATGTAAGGAAAGTCCTCTACTATCCTCCTTTCTATACTAACTTTGAATCCCCTCTACTTCACCGACCAAAGAAGCAAAAATAAAATCACTCCATGAATAAGTTCTAAAAATCTGTTAGAACAACTCCACAGAACGTATTTTTAAATTCTATTTGCAGGTTTTGCTGTCGTAAACTAAATTATCAGTCGTTGTTTGGTAGCATGTGGGGGGGGTAAGAAGTTCTAAGGAGCCGACACTATATCCGTACTGGTACAAGAACTAGAACTTCTAAACAACCTTCTTTAATTTTATCCTCCGGCGTCCAATCGACTCCAGATGTTATTCAGGAACCTATTGGCGCCCAGTATCGCTATATGCTCTTATGGTATCAGGCATTTCAAGGATTTCCCCCGCTGGATCTTTGCCCCAAACGGGTATGATAACATGATACTGTTCCACTTAAGAGACAAGGCTTACTAACCCTACCGGCTCCACTGTGGAGCCTGAACCATTCGCTGCCCGAAAAGACACCTTGCAACTCCCTCCCTCCCAGCTCGCCCCTGATAAAAGCCCGTGTCTTAGCACCTTCAGCCCTTCCCCCACCCCTCTCCCTTCTTTCCCCAATTCCTCCAAAAGCCCTATTCGTCGACCAAAGAGACGTAGAAGAAGAAACAAACGAACAATATGATCTCTTTCCGCCGGGCGTTTGCCCTCATCGTGCTCGTCGCCGCTGCATCCTTATTCCTGTTTTCTCAGCCTACCGAGGCGACAAAGAGTCCGTTGATCACACATAAAGTATTCTTTGATATGAAGCACGGCGATAAGGAGTTAGGGCGTATTGTATTTGGACTTTACGGGAAAACGGTCCCTAAGGTTTGTGCTCCTTCCGTACCCATGTAAGAGGTTTCGACAGTGGCCCTTGACTAACGCTCTGGGTTGGGTGCAGACCGCCGAGAACTTCCGGTGAGCATTGCATTACGGCTGGGGGTAAGGGAAGGTGGGGAGGTGGAAGCTAATTGTCAATCGTGTAGTGCTCTCGCCACCGGTGAGAAGGGCTTTGGATATGAAGGATCGATCTTTCATCGTGTTATCGCGGACTTTATGATTCAGGGCGGTGACTTTACCAATCGTGATGGCACTGGTGGCAAGTCTAGTAAGAAGTTCTCTCCGAGTAGCATTAGGCAGTATAAAATGCTAACGATTGTGAAAAAGTCTACGGTGACAAGTTCCCCGACGAAAACTTCAAACTGAAGCACACCCGCCCCGGGCTTCTGAGCATGGCAAACGCTGGCAAGGACACCAACGGATCCCAGTTCTTTATCACTACCGTTATTACTTCGTAAGTTCTCTTGAGCACTTTGCCCCTAACTGTTCCCGCCTACTCCCCATCTATACTCTGCGTGCACCCATTGAATCTAGGCTAACGGCTAGCACAGCTGGCTCGACGGCCGTCACGTTGTTTTCGGTGAAGTTGTAGAGGGTATGGAGATTGTCAAAGCGATTGAGCAAGTCGAGAAGAGTCCCGGCAGCGACTCCCCCGCCACAGTTGTAACCGTCGCGAAGAGTGGAGAACTCCCTGTTCCAGAAGAAGGTATCCATGTGGAACTTTAAATGCATTTATACCGCCCTTTCCTTATTTCACCTTTTCCTTTCATTGTTTCTATTGTCACGAACCAAAAAGAAAAAAGAAAAAACAACCGTGAAGTAATTACGCGGTTAATGGGAAGAACTACGATATCCCTTTTTGTTGTCCTCAAAAAGGTCCCGAATATATATGATTCATTGACATCCTGATGGGTTGACACGAAATAAATGCATTGCCACTTTATTACTATTATTATTAATATACATTCTGGGAATCCGCTGATGAATGCCTCCATCTCATAGCCAATGGGGAAGAAGACTCCGCAACTACTGCCCCACCACCAGCACCAGCTAGCGCAGAGACTGGCACCGAGAAGAAGGCGGAGGAAACTGGCGGGGCTGAGCCCGAGCAGCCAAAGTACGCCGCTGAAGGCCTCGTGGATAGAATCAAGGATGCAGACGTGAGCTGGGGGCACGCACAGGTCCTGGCGGGTGCGTTGCTGATTGGCGTTGCAGCGGTTTTATACGTTAAGAGGAGGAGTGTTCGTGAGATTAGGAAGCCAATGGAATAACTTGATATAGGTATAATGGCTATGTAGGGAGTAGTGGGCTTGTAATTGTACCTGTGACCAGCTTGCGTTCATGGTTAAATTGGTATCCGTTTTTGTTTTTTTGAGTCTTGGGGGACCGGCATTTGATTTGGTGTGCAAAGCGAGGGGCTTCATGTGTTCGTCCGCAAATGAGTGAGGGGATGTGACGGGAACACCAGCGGAGATACTCGAGGTCCAAAGTGAAACAGTTCCCGAAATACAAGTGGCTCAAAGCTCTCAACCCACCAACAAACGTGCCATAGGCCTTGTACTCGTACAGTACAAGTAGTTCCCGGGCGTCAAGTCGATTTTCGAGCCATCATACAAACCAAGGTAAGTTTACCATCCCGCATCTGAAATCGGGATCTCGACTCTCGCACATGAGGTACGCGTGATAGAGCGTAGACAATCACTCCAGAGTGATTGACTGTGATCACAGCGCCGATCGTCGGTGCTTGGAGTTTCGGATTGAATTCCCCCCTCTCTCTCTGGGAGTGAATGGGTAAGCTACGTGATCATCGTGCTGGCGTGTTTCTACCGGAGTGTTGGTGGGATCGGCGGACTGGATTGACGGTAGTTTGCCAACTGTCAGTCGGGTACATTACTTTTGTCTGCCCGCATTATATTCCCTGAGTACCAGCGTTGTGCAGTTCCTTCCCGGTGGGTTCCTCTCGCTCTGCAAATACTATTACGGGATAATGTATCATGGTTATTTAGGCAAACCGGAAGCCAAGTTGCTATTCTAGAGTCTCAAAACGAAAGGGGAAGTATATATATAAGAGCAGGCATTCATAATTCTAACGTGCGGTGCTGGGTTCGAACCGGATGGATGGATGGATGGATGGATGGGGGAAGAAAGTAAGTGGGTGAAAATTTTTATAACCTGGAAAGCACAGCGGCCTGGGCCGATACCATAGAGAATTCCTCCTCGGGAATTACCTCGCCTCTGCATCCCAGCCCGAGCACACCTCATTCCAACCACGGAAGCGCGTTACATAAAGTCATCACTATGGTTCGTTAGTCTGCCTTCCGTCATTGGACGAGGTGAGGAAAGGAAGGATGCACTGACAAGTCGTCATACCCCGCCGACTCGAGATAATCTGTCGTATCAAACTTATCCGCCTCCTTGCCAGTCGCCGCGAGAGTTGTCTTCCCCTTCGCCGCCTTAGTCTTCTTCCCACCCTTATCCGCCGCCTTCTCCTCCCTCTGCTTTTCATTTGCGAGAACGGTCAGCCCAGTGGCGACCTTGCGCACTTGCTCAGATGACATGTCCCTCCCCAACTGCCTCACAAACTCCTGCAGGAAGAGCGAGTAATGTGCCTTCTTACTATTCGCGACAAGCAACGGGACAAGTACATCCCTAAGCTGCGTGAACTCATCCTTCCCCTTCGGCGCGAACATTGGCAACGACGACAGATCAATAGCCTTAGTGGGATCCTCCGGGTCCCCGGTGGTGATCGGTTTCCCCTTGGTCCCGCCGCTACCGGCCCCGACACCCACCGTGCCGAACAGGTCAGTTGCGTGCGCTAAGTCCCCCTCGATGCGCATTCGCTCCTCACGAGCCCGACGCTCTACCGGCGTCTCATCCTCCATGTCGTCGAATTCGCGGGCGGCGGCAGCGGCCTCCCTCTGCGCAGCGTTTTCGGCCTGTCTTCCGGCGATGCGTTGGGCCTTGGACTTTTTGTTTGCGATGGCCTCGGCGGCGGCTTTTTCTGCCGCGGCTTGTTTAGCTATGGCCTTTTTGCGTTCTTCTTCCGAGTCTTCGGCCGCATCCCAGGATTCTAGGACCTGTTGGTGGGGGGTGTGAGTGTTTGGACTCGGGTGCTGGGGGGGAAGGGGAGAGTGAGTGAACCTCTTCTTCACTATCTTCATCATCCCATTTCTTCTTTGCGGCTACTCGGGGGGCAATGCGGCCTACTTCTTCTTCCGAGCTGGATTCTTCCTCATCGTCTGTGCGAAACAGTTAGTTCTGACTCGACATTTCTAGCAGGTGGAAGGGCGGCGGGTAAATAATTACTCCATTCCTTTGGCGGCGCCATGATTTCCTGTGAATAAACTGGTGGAATTAAATTGGAGATCTTAAGGATTGGGTTAGAAAGTGAGGAATAGTGCTTAGTGGAGAGGTAGGTAGCGAGGGTAGTTTGTTGTGGAAATACTGTAGTGGGAGGGAAGTCGATGGAGATGTGGTGGGGGGTGAAAAGGTGGGGCGCCTGAGGCTCAACTCCTGATAGTAACTACGAGTATGAACTTCAGCCCTTCTCCCCACACACCCATACCCCCATACCGGTACTACAATCATAATCAGGCAACAAATTTTAATGAAGTCAGAACCTCCTAAGAGAAGCTTGACGAGAGCTTCTCGGCACCCTTTTTATTTATTTATAGAAATCCTTATTACAGCCTAGAACGACCACCTCTGCCTTATTACATGAATATTATCTACTCAATAGATTATGGGAGAGTATGCATAATCAAGGCCTTGTACCCCTCCACCGACTTCACAAGGTCCGTGACCGTAACAAATTCTGCGTTACCGTGCGCTGTGAGAATTCTGCTAACCATCAGCCTCCACCTTCAGAGCATGCCGTACACAAATGGTACTCACGATCCGGGACCATAAAGGTATCTCTTATGACTCCCCTTCAAATTCGGGATATCCGTTCCATAAGCCTGAGCCCTGGTTTCAAACCCTGAAAAAGTGTTGCCATCAGTAAGTTAACCGCCCCACAAATAAGCAAAACAAAGCAATCAAAAACGACAATGCTGATGATATTGATATATACAGTACCCTCAACATCATAATCCAAATACTGCGGTCCATAAAACCTCTCAAACCATGTCAAAGTAACAGGCAAATCCTTAACTGTCTCATTCACCAAAGCCCGGACCAACAGGGGATCGGCCGCTAATCGAATTGCGACACTCGCATTCGCATAGGGGGAGATGATATTGGGGGCCGTACCACCGCCCATAATGCCGTAATTCAATGTGGAATTTCCCAGTAGGTCGGATCCAGGGAGTTTCATCTTCGACAGGATATGCAGCGCTTCCACAAGATCCTCGTTAGCGTTGATGCCGAACTGTGGATAGCCGGAGTGCGCGGCCTTCCCGAAGGCCTCAATGCTGAACCTGAGCACACCCTTGTGCCCGAGTGAGAGTCTGAGCTCCGTCGGCTCGCCGAAAATGACGGAATCCCAGGTCAAGCCGAGATCGTTCGCTTTTATCATCCCCGCACCGTCTGTTTCTTCGGCTACTACGAAGAGCATTGCCACATCGCCTTCCCCTATCAGGCCTTTTGTGAGGAGCCCCTCAACGGCCTTGATCTGCGCGGCGACGCATCCCTTCGCGTCGTTTGTTCCTCGCCCTGTTATGGTCCCGTTGGGATGGTATGTGTAGTTGATGTATGGTGGGACCACATCGATATGGCTGGTCACGAGAGTCTTTGTCCGATTTTTGTTTCCCAGATAGGCAAAGATGTTGTTACGATTCCTCGCGACCTCCTGCTTCTCCACAGTGAAGGATTTGGACCTCAGGTACGTCGCCAACCAGTCCCCAACCGCGAGTTCGTTTGGCGCGATGGACGGGATCTCGCAGAGGTTCTTGTGGAGTTCTATCAGAGCCGCTGTGGCATTTGTCCAATCCTCCGAGTCGGGAGCCGGCCTCGCCCCTCCAACACCATCACTACCATACTCACCGCCATATCTATGACCTCCCTTCCCTCTCCCCTTACTCTTCCCTTCCCGCGGCAGCACGGGGACGGAGACGGCGTTGGCGGCAATAATAAGTGAGAAGAGGAAGAATGCCGGAGAAGCAATTGAGAACTTCATTCCGAATCAAGCGAGCATAGACAGATGGACAGACAGACGAAGGGAATCCAATGATAGAAATATTCGCAAGGCCCAAGATTGCTGGATAGATGTATAGAGGGGGGGGGGGGGGGTGAAGAACCTCCCTTCCTTAAAATGTGGGCATGCTGATCGATTCACTTCCATACAACACCACCCAACTCCGCAGTATTATTATTATATCTCGCACCAAAAATTTCCCTCCTCCCTTCCCCCCTGAGCCGCAATTACAAACCCAATACAGTCTACCAGAATTAACTGTACTAGTACTTGTATCATACAAGGACTAGTACAATTACGGTACAAGTACTGGCCCGATGCCTCCTCCCGGTGAACTATCCAGGATCATAGTGCGAGCTTCCCCTTACGACTCCAACGCTCGCACCCTATCTCCAGTACTTGTACTGGTACGATGGTTGCAAGGGACATGTCGTACCAGTGCTGTATTGATGCGTGATGTCTGTACTAGTACTGTAATCTGCGAGTTGTCCTATTCCATTCTTCGCCCTAGGTGGTAGGGCGTGGTAGTAGATCATTACCCGAGCATGATACCCCTGGATGGTAACAAACTCGGGTATGGACGTCCCCGATCGCATAGTTAGGGACTCTATATCATAGGCCTATCCTTACCACCCTCATTATAAATAAAAGAATGAATTTGGCGTGGAAATTGCTCTAGCAGACGGAGCTTTCGTAGAAGTACCTCTCATCCCTGGCTGTCCGATCGCCCACATCCACATCCTAGTACCGATCCTGTGAAAAATGAGATAGGCAGTGCACTTGTCCTATCATACCGGTAGTGCCATACTGTACAGTACCCGTACTCGTGCAGTGCTCTAGCGTATTGTGGGAGCCCATTCCGGAGAAGCCTGGGTGCTCCTCCTCCCGTGACTGCGGTGGAGGGGTCTATGAATGTAGGATGGAGACAGAGGCCTAACGTCAGTGCCACCAAAGTTGACAACACAATTAGTCTCAATGAATGATACAGCATATCTTGGGGTTTGGGTTACAATAGCAAACCTCAATTCCCACATTGAGCCGGGCCGACCACCGCTACTCGTGCACCGGTAGCAACTAACTTATTACAATACCTGGGCCTTTGGAGCCCCGGATAAGTTGTTATTGTCTGTTTTCAGTTTAGCTATGTTATGGGAGGCCGTGCTATCGACGTATCTACCGTATCATACAACTCTGCAAGCAATTGTCTGGAGGGAGGGAGTGCACCCGGTGAGAACTCATCTGGTCCCGTGATATCGGCGATGCCGCCGATGGGATCCACCCTTCCTAATCATACCATTCACCTCCTCCGGAATCCTCCCATCCCTCCCTCTCTATACCTCCGGCGCGCACACCCAACAACCCAACTCTAACACCGAAACAATCATCGAACCCATAATCATAATCGTAAAAAGCCACCTAACGCCTTCCTTCTCCCTTCTCCTCGAATCAATCAACCACCACCAAACAACCACCCAAATCATACAAAACGCGGCAGAAAAAGAAGAAAAATACCAAACACCATTCCCCAAACTTTGAACAAGGTATGATAGCTCAAGCGAGTGAGGGGAGAGGGAGGGGAGGGCAAAAAAAGAAATTCGTTCCGGCATGTACACGTCGTCCGCCACACTACAGGAAGACAGGATAGCCGCGGTCTAAACCATCAACCCCGCAAACACCACACTTAGTCCACCGACTACTACGGCCACAAAACCAGGCGTAAGGCTGCGTTCTCGAGGTTCGTTAGGTCCTTGTGGGAAGCGTATTGACGCTGCGGAGGAGGCTGTTTGCGGTAACATTAGCATCTGCGGTGGTAGTCAGAGGGGGGGATGACTAACTCATTCTTTTCTCCAGTCGCTCTCCTTGTGGTGATGAGGAGGAGGAGGAAGATGCAAGAACTTCGGAAGGCGCCAGGAGCACCAAGAATGCTAGCAGCAGAAGAGCCAAGAATAGAGATTTGCGGAGGAAGTGGTGGTGGTGCGGGTTTGTGGACGGCATTGTCATCCGTTTGTTGATTGGCGGGCAGGCAACGTAGGGGGAGAGCGAGTTGCAGTGCAGGAGGTGAGTTGAAATGAGCGATGTTTGGGTGATGAACGGCGATGTGAGTGCGAGGGGGGTATTTCTCGAATTATATCCCCCTTCAATCCCTTCCTTCCTTCCTTCCTTCCTTCCTTGCTTTGGAATGTTCACCCCTGTAGACTATAGAATTGAAAAGGAAGCGAGAAGCTTGTTTCGTCGGCTCGTCGGGTCGAGTAAGGGACTCGCGTAGGGTGCGGGCCTTTTATATCCACCCAATACTAAAATTCCCCGGAACCTCCGTTCTCCGTCCGTTTGTTGGCTCGTTAGCTTGTAAAATGCAGGAGAGAGAGAGAGAGAGAGAGAGAGAGAGCGAGATTGTGTGTGTGTGTGTGTGTGATATGGGTCAGCCCTTTTTCAAGCCTTCAATAGAAGGAGATACCAGCATCATACCCATTCTCATTCACACTTATATAGCAGAATGGGAGCGGGGGAAACTACCAAGCTTTTAACCTCAAAGGGCGTCACAAATTAAAGTTACTCCGAATCGTCACGCGCATCTATCCAGTAACAACCTCGTGGCAACCTCTGGCGCCTCACTAACTTAACTCCAAATAACTTGGCAAGCAGATGCGCCAACGCTTTTGATTGGCTCCCGAGGATTAGCACTTTTGATAAATATTTCTCGGATCCGCTGGCACAGTTCCGGCAGGGTACTGTACTAGTAGGGTACGGTACTCGAGTGCCGTAAATTTAGTCCACTCCGTTGCGTCAAAAATTACAATAGCCAAAGTGAGGTGTTTCGGAATGTGGGCACTAAAATTATACCGGTATCCAGTTCGGGAGCGTTTCGGACTCTACTTGTACTGCTATTTGTGGGCAGGTTGGTTGGTTGGTTGGAGGGTGGATGGGTTGGTTGCCGGTTTGGGAGTTTTTGGGGCTTTCGCGGGGATGGTGGTTCTCTCCGAATGAATTCGCCACCAGACACGGACCAAGGTACCCGCGTCCAAACCCGAGACTCCAGGGGGAAAAAAAAGGAACGAGATGGTTAACTTACGGTACTAGTCGTTTTATAAAGTATTCGGACACCTTGGCGCCAAGGAATCTCGAGATATAGGCTATAGTCAACGCGTTTTTAGAAAACATGTGCTAGTCAGTACCACAAAAAATGGAAATCAGAACGAATGGCTCCAGCTCCCTCAACTCAAAAGAGAGGTAAGGAATATCTCAGTTGAGATAAAGTGGAGATTGATTAGCTAAAGGCCACTATAGGAAAAGAGATTACACCAAGACATCGCGCAGTGATTATCACCTATCGCTGTCTCAATCAACCAATGAGTTTCCGCCAAATTGAAGAAGCAACCGGTGTTTCCAAGTCGACTGCGAGTGATATATGGCGGCACGCCCTATTCAATGCACAAAAGTCACGGCTCCAAACGACAAACCCTACCCGCTCTCCTGAGCCCTCAGTACCCCCAGTGAATACATCCAACCTCAACCATGAATTCTCTCTTTTAGAGTTAATTGATTCTAAGGTTCTGGATCCAGCAACCCGTTCTGGCCATCCTGAGGTTCTGAGCGAGACAGATAAGGACCAGCTTGCTTTGTTTGTTAAGCAAGATTTTGAGTCTCGACGAATGGCTATAAGAGATATTCGGAGAGAGGCAGGATTTTCTCACATTTGTGATACAACTATATATAATGCATTGGCATCGCGAGGCATTCATGCCCACCAAGAACTATTTAAGTTTATCTTAAGTGAAGACAATAAAAAAAAAAGACTAGTAAGTATTAGAGATCTATCATGACTTGTACTAAATAATATCAATATTACCATATGAACTCAAATAACTGGACTATGTGCTAGGACGCTGGAGTTGCCTCTCTTAGTATGGTTTAGACCATAGTTCCCGCTCTGCTTGCCTCCAGGAGACTTGTCATCCAGAGGAGGAAACCTTAAGAAACCTTGTACATGGTCTAATTATTCGAATTCTTAAGGTATTTTATATATATTAAAATACAAAATAGTAAGATTGCTAACTTGGCTGTTAAAAAAAGGAATACTGTCATGCATACCTCTCTTGGCTACCAGCGCAGGAGTAGGCAAATTTTGCATTCACAGACGAGATGTCGATTGAGATTGGTGGAGTCTTTGGACCCTCTATAGTTTGGAGGGAAAAGGGGGAAAAATGGCACGATGACTGTGTTGGAGCCAAAAAGAAGCAAGGCAATATAGTCATGTGCTAGGGGATGATTAGCTTTGGATGGAAAGGACCCTTTTGGGTATGGGAACATGAAAGTGCTGAAGAGAAAGAGGAGGCAGCAAAGAAAATTGCAGCCTATAATAAGGTTGCTTCAGAGGAGGAAACAAGGCTAAATGATCATTGGAGGTCAACTGATGAATGGCGGGTATTGAAGAGGCAAGAGCTAGCAGTAGCGCGCGATGCATGGGCAATGGCAAAGACAACAGGCATAAAGGTTAAAACTAAACAGTTGTGGAAATCAAAAAAATTTAAGGTAAGAAAGATCAAGCGAGGTGAGGTAAGAGGAGTGGACTTATGGCGGTATGTCACGGCCCTTGCTCGTCCTCTCATTTGGCCTACTGGTCGTCAATGTCTTGCCGATCATCCTAACTTCCTCCTGATAGAGGATAATGCCCCCGAACACAACTCTGATTTCACAAATTTAGAACGAATGAAGGTGGGTATATCTAAGGTGAATTGGCCTCCCAATTCATCAGACTTTAATCCTATTGAGCATTTATGGGAATTGATAAAATCCAGGATACAGACTCAAAGAGGAAAGGAAAGAGTAACAAATCTTGGTGATATGAAATTGATTTTAAAGGAGGAATGGGGCCGCATTACAGTGGAGGAGATTGATAAAGAGATAGCAAAGCTACCTCAGATAATGTTAAAATGTATAGAGAAGAACGGTGGAAATAAATTCCATGCATAGTTTTGTATAAGAGTGGTGCTTGGCATATAAAGATATCGAGAAATCCGTACCGGAAGAGAAATGCTTGGTGCCAAGGTGTCCGAATACTTTATAAAATGGCTAGTACTTCAAGC